GCATAGTATGTGGTATTTTGGGGAACTCACTAAGCTTTGGCTTACGATTTTTAGTTTATGTTTCAGGTGCTTCTGGTTCCAAAGGGAAGAGGCTGGGATGAGTACACAACACAGACCATTTGATTCCACAGTTTGTGACTTATTCTGATAATGATTATTTATTAATAGAATTTGATTAGCTTGGTTTTATGACAATGATAAGGTTTAGTATTTTATTAATTTAAAAATGAAAATTTTCGCGTATCATTTTTTGGACATTACATTTGAATTCCCCATATATTCGCTACCATATTTGTGTTTGTTATTCCTATACTTAGGATGGTTAGCCTTTTTAAACCATGGTTCGTTGACGAATACCCTCTTTTAGTCAGATTGAAGGCTATGCGCTTTACATTGTTAAAAGTGGTTGGTCGTGAGGCAGTGACCGACCCTTGATTTGCGACCAAAACGCAAATGTACCGCTCGATCTTCTTGTATTTGGGGTTACAAATCCTAGGCATAAGGAAGAAACGTCATTAAACCAAGTAGTATAAGATGCAATTTCGGAATCTTTGATCGTAAGGTTCCAAAGCTCCTGCCCTAGGTTTTGCATTTCATCCCTAGGGATGTATTCCTCAATCAACATTATTTTTATATCCTCCCAAGTCATGGAATTGGCGGTGCTGATGCCCATCATTTTAGCATGGTCATTCTAACATGTTAAAGCTGCGTCAACGAATGTGCAAGTGGGAAATCTGACTTTGCAATCCTTCGCACATAAACTTATATGGAACACCGATTCCATTTTCTCTATCCACCTGGTCAGACTGTCCAGTCCTTTATTTCCATAAAACGATTTGGGCTTGTAGTTCATGAAATCCTTGTAGGTACAGGTTCTTGAACTTCCCCTGTTGTCATTTTGGGAGCTACTTCCACCTCCACCTCCATTACCACCATGCCCAGATCCAGAGTTTTTCATTGATTCTGCAGCTAGCCAGTATGTTTACGACTCATTGTGCAACTAGTGCCTCAATAACCGCTACGTCTATAATTGGTGTTGGATCCGGTATATTTGTTGGTGTTTCAGTAAGCGTTGGTGATGGATTGCGTCGGGTAACTCGTCTTATGGGCATGCTTTATGTCCAATTATAAACATGTTTAAAGGAAGTATAAGTCGTATGAAGTACTTTTGTTAGTCATACAATTCGAGTCCCAATGATTATTTTAGTTGTAATTACTGTAAATTTTTGCATAATTCCTATGCAGTGAATATCAGATATGTGTCTCGGAACCATCTCTTCAATCCCATATAATTCCTCTAGTGTTTAGTTTACCAACTACCATATCAACTCCAGTCGTGCGTCGGTCGGACCATAATAAAACTTAGGTGCATAAGGTAGGTCTAATTATGGTTCGGCCGTTGTACGACACTAACTTTAGATATTGTATTTGACCTAAATTCTTGAGTTGTATTCTCTTCGAGGGTCCGAGTTTTCTGTATGTTTGAAGTATATATGTGTGTTCTCATCGTGTGTATGGGTTTTATATAAACTTTAGATCTGATTTTTATGTTTGTTGTGTGTTTTATTAATTTTTTTTAGTACCTCACGACTATCAAGTAAGGACTAGCCAGGATAGTCGGAGGGCAGGGTCATTTTGGCGTATAGTCGTTCTGAAATCCAACAACCTAAGCAACGTGTCTATCCTTGTCACCTCTCTCGTAAGTAGTCAATCTGTAATATAATTAATAATAACTTTTATTTTCTTGTTTTAAAGGATAAACCTAATCAGAGTAGTGAGCCTAAAGCTATAGTTGTAATTTCCTAAGAAACTACTAATTCACTATAGCAATAACTCTGATACCAATCTATCACACCCCAGCCGATGGCAGAAACATCGGACGGTGAGACGACATCATGGATCACCATTATTGATTATATTGAAAAATATAAAAACTATAAGATGGAGGAATGAAAAGGGACATGAAGAACCTCCATGATTATCAAGAAAATGTAAGGTATAATCAACATAGAAACATATTATGCAAACAATGTTGGAGATAAAAAAAAAATACAAGAAATTCTGCAGTTAATTTCAATTTTAATGTGAATACAAACAAGATTTATGCTTGCCCGCAAATTTTCCATATCCGTAGGTATCTATGGAAGAAAAAGTAGAAGTTATACATAATCTCATCATTAAAATATGTAAGTTTTCTATTGCTTAGTTCGGTGAAATTTCGTGTATTAATGGTAATCCTGTTCAATGCAAAGAAAATGAGAGAAGATATAATACGAAAGTATGGATGTGCTATGTATAAATTTTTTTATAATCTTATAATATGCATACATTTATAAAACAATCTAATGAACCTTATATAGTCACTATTACATGGAAAATAGTATTTTGCTTTGTTGGCTTTGTTCTTGATCGAGGTTACTGATTCTTCAAAAAAAACATAATCATCGATTCATTTTATAAATGTTTTTGAACCCTACAACATTAGGAAAAACTTTTTCAAATGAAAGTATTATATTTGAAAAAAAATGTGGAAATTTCTAAAGATTACCTACAAACCCGAATAGATAAACACAAACGAAAAAAAAATTTGCGAAATGTAAGAGGGTTTTTTTAAAAAATAAAATAAAAGAGTTTAGCGTTGAACATAAAACCCAATAATAACTCTATTTTCTATTTGATAATAACTCCGCCCCCCAGACACACACACACACACCATCCCCTCTGTCCAATACGACCAGCTTCAACTAAACCACACATCAAGCATAGCTGAGCGACCCTGATCACCATTAAATCATGGCTATTCTCATCGTCGATAACCCCAAACCACAAATCTCATGCGACCCAGATCAACTAAAATCGCACACCTCATTACAATTACAACCAACACTCCTTTTTCCTTCTCCTGCTTGTCGATTAATTCCAAGTGCAGAAACGGTAACCAAATCATCTGAATCCTTTATTATCATATAAATTCTATTTCAATCTATCATCATACCAAATCACTTGAATCCATCAAAATCACAGAAAATTTATTGATTTAAACAGATTGCTGATTTTTCATCAGTGTGAATCATTTCCATAGTAGTAGCAGAGTGGTCGAAGTGTGTTTGAAGTGGATTGGTCGAAGTGTTCATCACTGTTGAAGTGGATTTCTATTAAAAGGTATGCAATGGTTTCTTTCCTCCTGTTTATTTTACTATCGACTGTAAGAAAATAAACTAGTTTTCTTTTGTGGTGCAAGGAACACGGAAACAGAAGAAGAATGTAGTGGAAGAAAACTTGCTCTTAAAGTTAAAACAAAGAAAGAACTAGTAATTGCATTAAAACAAATGACGCCTACTTTTATACTAATTAATTAGATACCTTATGAACCTCTAAAACCATAAAAAAAAGACTTCGACTCTTATTCTAAAACTAGGAAACAAAACTAATAAAAAAGAAACTTTCCTATTGCTTTTCAAATAACCGATAACCCAACATCGACTTCCAACACTCCTTGTAGGTTCATTTAAAACTGCTTGTTTAAAAATGTGATTTTAATACATACCAAGTGTTTGATGAAATGACTGAATGACTTTTTCTTTATTCAAATTTAATGCCACATTAGCTGTATGGTTTGTTCATAACGCTGTGTTTAGAATTTGTAGAGTATTAGAAACAAAGAATATTTAAAAGAGATAAGTACCCATCACCAAATATTTGTCAATTCTGAGTTTCTGACCCAAAAAGTGTACACACCCAATACAATATGAGACTAGTTATGGTTCCCAGGCAATTACACTTTCAGTTGAACTAAAAACTTTCCTTGTTATTATTGCAAGTTAATCTTCTTATGATGTCTTTTCAAAAATAAATGGTTCAACATTAAATATCATGTCTTTGAAAAAAAGTTTGATGCCCATCAATATTGTGGAGAACCTTTATGTTAGTTGGTTTGCAGTAATAATTTTCATAAATTGAACAACTTGCAATATTTTCATGATCTATAGAGAATCCATGATACTACAGGTGCCATTTTGGTTCTTGCAATACACATGGAAGAATTATTGAGATGAAGAAGCTTTTTATATAACATTAATTGATTCTATGTATAAAAAAGAAATCATGTTTGACCTCCGACAAAGAGAGTAAGCAGAGAGGAAAGGTACCCTGTTTGTGTTTCAAATGATACATATTCCATTCCATTTAACAAGCCAATTGTGTGTAAACAAATTTAAATTACTATAAGCTGGAGGATTGAAAAAGGGACAGGAACAACCTCCACAATTATCTAAAATATGTGACGTGTAATCTGCATATTCCGTACTTGTGAATTGAGAAAAAAACATTATGAATATCGTTGTGGAGGTCCTCTTTTATGTGACATCATATTTATTATACTCATAGGTTATGCCATATGATGTTCAAATGAAATGAAGGAAGATGAGACATCAAATAGTAAGAAGTTTCAAGTCCAGTCTTTCAAAGTGAAGTGAAATGAGTACTAATAATTAAGATCATGTAACTTTTATTTGAATTAATTAGTAAGTTATGGTGTGTAAATGTTTCAGGCTGTTAAAAGCTACCTTTGATATTAAATACTTGTTTTTATATATGAAGGAGTTAGGTGGTGCATAGCATCAAATCATTGGCAACCCTCTTGAATTTGAGTTTTATGGTATGGAGTCGATGGCCAAAGTGTAAAAATTCACCAAATGGCACCTGTACGAGTGTACCCATACTGGTAGTTGATTTAGTTCAATATGTAATTGATAGGAATCTTGTATTAAGAGTTAAGATGAATTTCAATTGGTATGTATTCGTATTTTCTATTTGACGGTAATTATAGAAAATAATTTATTACATATAATTAATTTACAAATGTTATTTTTGCTACTTTTTATATTTACTGGAAATCCAAGTGATGGAAAAACTTGTTAAATTTCATTTGATGAGCAACAGATTTGTCCTGGACTAATACTATATTTTCCAGTCGTGAAGCTTCTAAAAGGATATCAATCTTCACTAATTATTTTTTATTTATTTTTTTATTTATTTATTTTATCTATTACATAATCATTTAAGAAAACATATGAGAAGTTTCATAACAAAAAGGCATTCAAATAAATACATATTATCAAGATGCATATAGGAACATGACAAAAGAAAATAACATTCAAAGTACACTAATATCAAGCCTTCATCAACAGATTTGAAACTTGGCGCATTGTTGGTCTTTCTTTTGGATTCGAGTTCAAACATGCTCTTAAGAGATTAAGTACCATATTAACCTTTTTCTCAATTTGTGGTGAAGGCAGTGGAATCCGACTATCTCCAACATTTGCTAACACCAGATAATCCGCATGCAATGTTGGTAGTTCACCAGGATGCTTTCCCATGATCAATTCTAGTGCAACAATCCCAAAGCTATACACATCGCATTTCTCGGTCACGACCATCGTATAAGCAAGCTCTACATCCAAAAATACGTGAGATAAAAACAAAAACTGTTATATCAACCTCACACGATTCTAAAATATAGATACATATATGTACATATACTTATTCATATATATATCGTGAACCTTGAGAAAATGTAGAACTAACATTACAAAGTTACATTACCTGGTGCGATATAACCATAGGTCCCAACAATTGCGGTCCAGTTGGATGAGTCTAGCTTTAAAAGCTTGGACGTGCCAAAATCAGAAATATGTGCCTCATAATCGGAATCCAGAAGGATGTTGGCAATGGAAATGTCTCTATGAATTATAGGAGGGGTGCAATCGTGATGCATATAAGCCAAACCATTAGCTACAGCCTTTACAATATTTACCCTTTTCAACCAATCCAATTCTTGTACTAAACCATCACTTCTTAAGATTGATCCAAGGCTTCCCTTTTCAAGGTATTCATAAATCAAAAATGAGTGGCGGGCATGTGAGCAATATCCATAGAGTTTCACTATGTTTCGATGCCTTATATTCGTTAATGCCTGTACCTCATTAAGGAATCCATTATTATCAATATTCTCAGATGGTGAGTGAAGTTTCTTGACAGCTAACACATTGTTAGGCTGTATCTCAGCTTTGTACACAGTCCCATATCCTCCTCTCCCAATACAGTATGCTTCATCGAAATCATTCGTTGCTTTCAAGATGTCATCGTAAACTACTCCTCCATCAAAACTTGTTATGGAGAAATAATTTCCACCTTTTTCCAATGTTTTCTGTGGAGAATGTCTCTTTTGTTTTCGATAAGAAATAAGGACACACATGAAAAAAACTAGTAAAATTGCCCCACTAAAAGGGAGGATAATTACAAGGATGAGTTGATGATGAAAGGGATCGTCTTTCTTCTTCAAGATTTGACTTTCACAAAATTTTAGTCCTGTAATATTTCCACACAAACTAGGATTGCCTTGTAAGGACGCATTCACAAAGTTAGAGGAAAGGGGAACCGGACCTGTGAGCTCATTTTTGGATAGGTCGATGTCAATCCCACTTGGCAAACTTGTAAAAGCACTAGGAATAGAACCAGATAGTTTATTGTGAGAAAGATTCAGTTTTTGCAAACTTTGCAAACTTTGAAATTCAGATGGTATCTCTTCTGTAAGCAAATTTTGAGATAAATCAAGTTCTGTAAGTTGAACTAATTTACCAATCTCAGATGGAATTTTCTCACTGAGCCTGTTATTACTGAGATTCAAGTAGTGGATTTGTGCCCATTGACCAATACTTTTTGGTATCGACCCATTCAATCTATTTTTGGATAGATCAAGTACTTCAAGGAGTTCTAAAGATCCGAGCTCTTTAAGTATTACACCTGAAAGTTGGTTACCAGCCAAGGACAACTCCAACATACTTTTCGTCTTCTTAAACTCCTTTGGGATCTCACCAACCAAGTTATTCGAAGACAAATCTAATCTTTGTAGTTGAGCTAAATTACCAAAATCCGGAGGAATGGAACCACTAATTTGATTGTTGTTCAACTTAAGATCAGTGAGAGACTTCAACTTCCCAATTTCACTAGGAATGGGACCAACAATCTCATTGTGATGCATATAAAGGAGAATTAAAGATGTCAAATTACCAAATGATGAAGGAATAAAACCACTAAGCTGATTTCGGTACACCCAAGCATGAGCGAGAGACTTCAACTTCCCAAATTCAATAGGAATGGGGCCTGAAAATTTATTCCAATTGAGGCTTAGAGTCTGTAGGTTGCTTAGATTTGCTAGTGATGAAGGAATTGAACCACTAAGTTGATTGTAGCCCACCTCAAATTGAGTGAGAGACTTCAAATTCCCAAGTTCAATAGGAATGGAACCAGAGAGTTGATTTTTGTACAAATAAAAGCCATTCAGCAATGTCAAATCACCCAATGATGAAGGAATAGAACCATTAAGTTGATTTTCGTACAAAACAAGCATAGTGAGAAACTTCAAATTCCCAAGTACAATAGGAATTGGACCAGATAATTTATTCACTTGGAGGTACAGTATCTGTAAGTTGCTCAGGTTTCCTAGTGATGCAGGAATAGAACCACTAAGTTGATTTTCGCTCACCTGAAGATCAGTGAGAAATTTCAAATTCCCAAGTTCTGTAGGAATAGGACCAGATAATTTATTCCCATTTAGGTACAAAAGCTGTAGATTACTCAGGTTTGCTAGAGTTAATGGAATAGAACCACTAAATTGATTTTCGCTCATGGAAACTTTAGTGAGCGACTTCAAATTCCCAAGTTCAATAGGAATCGGACCAGAGAGTTGATTTGTCCACAAATAAAGGACATTCAAAGATGTCAAATTACCAAATGATGAAGGAACTGAACTACTAAGATGATTGTTGCTCATTTTAAGAAAAGTGAGAGACTTCAAACTCCCAAGTTCTGTAGGAATGGGACCAGAGAATTGATTTTGGTACAAATAAAGGGCATTCAGCGATGTCAAATTACCCAATGATGAAGGAATAGAACCACTAAGTTGATTTTCACTCACGGCAAGATCAGTGAGAGATTTCAAATTCCCAATTTCAATAGGAATGAGACCAGAGATTTGATTTTGGTGCAAAAAAAGGACACTCAAAGATGTCAAATCACCTAATGATGATGGAATTGAGCCAGATATATTGTTTGAGTATAGGTACAATTTGGTTAGCTTGTGTAGGTTTCCTATTTCAGGTGGGATTACTCCAGAAAATTTATTCTCTGAAAAATCAAGATAGACAAGTTTCGACAGGAGTCGGATTTCTGGTGGGATTGGGCCAAAGAAGTTGTTCATACCAAGATCAAAATGTGTAAGATTGTGTAGCAAAGAGAATGAAAATCGATGAAGCGTACCGGTTAATCCAGATGATGTGAGGTTCAACTTCTGAATGCTCCCATCAGCATTGCAAACTACTCCCAACCAAGAATTGCATGGAAATGATGCACTGGAATTCATAGGGAAAGAAAGCCATGAAGAGACCAAGGAATTGTTTAGAATTTCAAGGCTTGCTTTCCATTTTAGTAGAGCATTGGCTTCGTCTAAAGAAGCAGAGGAGCAATTTGGTATGGGGAAGAGTGTGATGATTAGAAGAGATAGAGAGAAAAATAAGAAGTTTGAAGAAGACATTATTTTCTTTGCCATGTTGCTTTTAACAAAACGGATGGTTCACATGTCCTACTTTATACTTGAGCTACCTTTTTATCTTGTTTTCTTTTTCATGTATGTACTCCAAAAGGAAATTTGGGCAATGTCATATATTTACATAAGGAGTGTCTTTTACATTAGAAGTCTGTGTCATTTTTTTTCCACGAAGAAGTGCATTACAATTTGAATTGTATCTGTCATGACATTTGTCCTTTTTTCTTAAAACAATAAAATTTGTAACCCGAAATTTTTTAGCAAGGCGCTAGGATTACAAAAAGACAGCGATATTATATGTTATTGTTGGATTTAAAAAGAAAAATATAACAAAACTTAACTATTTAGACATTTATTTTTAGTTTCTGATTAATGCTAATAAAAGGTTCACTCAAACTGTGTTTTACTTCATAACCAGTTCCGACTGATGACTATTATATGGATGATTGTCAGGTCAAAACTGTGTGAAAGGGTCATTGGAGATAGGCACATAATCAGGGGCCGACCTAGGGGGTCCATGGTGACACCGGCAATCCCTAACTTTTCTGGCTGCAGCGGAAAATTTTTCCAAAATATTCGAATTTTTTTTTTCTACTACCGTGCAACCTCTATTGTGAAATCCTGCATCCGCCCCTGGACATAATGGTCCTTTGAAAGAATGTAAAAAGCAAATGAAATCCTGCATCCGCCCCACAACTATTTCATCTATTAATTTCTATCTGTTTTTTGCATTGACTTAATAATGGAGATAAGTAAATAAAAGTGAAAATACAACTATGTTGCTGTCTGTTTCTTATGTTTTCCAATTTCCACAACTGGTTAGTTTGCACAAATCTTTATAATTCCTCTAACATCACATTTCGTAACCATTTTGTCTCTTAGGGTTCTTATCTTCACATATCAATGACAAAATTAGGAAAAGATTTTTGATGGAATTAGAAGTGCACTATAATTTCAATCAAATTGTTACACATTTTTTTTGTTTTCCAAGTAATTCAAAATAAAGTTTCATTCTAAAAGCTAACATACCTATCAAATTGTGTATAGTTGCTTTTTGAAATCAAATTGGTTTTCTTATTATTTTTTAAATCACAGACCAAACTAATTTTTGAAAAGACATAATTTGACTCGGTAAACCAAAAACTTATGAAGGAAAAAGTTGCCATGAAAAAGTCTTCGTCAAAATTTTCAATTAATACTTTAATAGCTACCTTCGTTATTTGAAGACTTCCTATGGTCCAGAAGTTAATGTCCTTGGGTCCACCGTATGTTCATGAGTCAATGGAGAAGACTTCCAATGGTCCTTCAAAAGAATCTAAAACAAATGAACGAAGCTTATGCATTAATTGAACTACGGAAATTTAGATGATTTAGAAATTCGTTGTGATTATCATTTGGGTTATTCTAGTTATTCTAGTGACATCAACTCTTAGAATCTGTTTATTTTGCAGAAATGATGTACTTTCTAATAAAATGATGTCACTTCTAAAAAAACTGTGATTTTTTTATAGATTTTTCTAAGAGCGATGTTTCTAGAGAGAGGCCAGACAAATCTGAGAATCGTCTTATCTCAGTTGAATTCATCTCATCTTAATTGAACCTTTACCACAACTAATCCCCAATCTTAAATGACCATCTACACCTATAAGAAAAAACAATAATGATTAGTTTTCCACAGTTGATTAGTTTACACAAATTTTTAGAATTTTTATGCACATTGTTCGATAATTATGGGACTATTTCATAAATATTTATAATGTTATCATTAAATCCGGTCATTAAGTTAAAAGTATAAATTTTTGATGAACCGATTTATATGATATTTTTACTTACCTTTTCTGCGTTGAGTTCCCGATTTGACTCAACATATATATACATGTGACGAGGAGCATACTAAAAGAGACATGAAAATACATACACGAAATTCGTTTTAGGGTTTAGTGACAGTTTAGAGATAGTTTTGAGATCAATTGGAAAACTCAACCTATTTATCAGATCCATCAGAGAATCTCCATGGAAGCAGGTATGTAATCTTCCTTCTTGTTTAAGTTTTCTTTTAATCATATTTGAGATTAAAATCTAAAGTTTTAGCTTCTGCGTTTGTGTTTCGGTTATCAAAATAACCATCAATTATTACTTTTAGCTTTCGCATTTGTGTTTTGGTTATCAAAAGAATCATCAATTGGTATCAGAATCTACTCGAATTTGTTAAAAGATTTTTTGGTTGATTTAAGATTAGTAGAACTCTAAAACATACCTGCCTTTTTGCTCTTGTTGATTGGCGTTATTTTGGTAATATGCGATCAGAGATATGTTTTTGTTACATCTCAAGATTACTTTATCTTATATTTTGGTTCAAAATTAAAAAAAAAAAATTTGATTCTTACAAAACTCATGGTTAAAAGTGCTCCTACATGAGTTGTTTTGTTTTTTCTTCTACTGTGTTTCTTGTAAGTAGGGATATGTTTACGTTTAAGTTTTAAGAACCAATTTTGTCGTTTACTCTATATTGCAAGTAGGGATATGTTACATTTAAGTTTTAAGAACCAATTATGTCGTTTATTACAAGAACAAACAAGATTGAAATGAAATTGATTCATTACCTTGATTGAAACTCAAATTGAAGTTATATACAGACATCTAAAAGGGAAAACCAGCTAATTAACTAATAACAATTTACTAACTAACAATTAGTTAAATTAGTAAACTACTCGTATCAGTTAGAATTGTAATAAGCGCCCCTCAATATGGGATTCAGGAATAGATGTTCTTTAATCCCATCTTGAATATAAAAGGTATAAACTTTGTATGTAGTTGGCAATGGTTTAGTGAACATGTCGGCTAAATGATCGGAAGATCTGATTGGCATCAATTTGATTGTTTGGTCAAAAACGTATCTCTTACGAAGTGGCAGTCAACCTTAATACGTTTCGTATGTTCGTGAAATGTTGGATTTGTAGCAATTTGTATTGTTGCATCATTATCACAAAAAAGAAGCACGGAATCAACATGATCAACATTGAAATATTTTAGTAATTGTTTCAACCATATAAGCTTAGAAGTAGCAACAGCCATAGCTTTATATTCTGCTTCTACAGAGGAACGAGAGACTGTTGACTGTTTCTTTGACTTCCATGAAACAAGAGAATCTCCCAAGAATACACAAAACCCAGTGATTGAACACCTTGAATAGGGACATTTAGCCCAACCTGAATCGCAGAAACCTTTAAGATCAATAGAAGATGATGAAGAGAATAATATTCCTTGACCCGGAGATCCTTTAAGATACTTGATTAGATGTGTTGCAGCATTGAAATATTGAAGTTTGGGTGTGGACATGTATTCACACAATTATTGGACAGCAAAGGTTATGTCTGGTCGTGTAATATTGAGATACAATAAACGACCAATGAGCCTCCTATTGTGACAACCTGAAATTTCTATCTTGTACAGTCATTCTATTCAATCACAGTCAGACTCGTTTCTGCTACCTTTTAGCATTGTTCAGGGTCTGTTCGAGTGTTCTAAGCCTAGTACATTCAAGGTTTGGGTTTAGGGATGAGTTGACTTAAGTTCTTCAAGTTGCATTCGAGCCAAACACACCATCAAAAGGTGTGTACGGCCGTAAACATGGGTGTACGGTCGTACACCCAAGGTGGTCGTACACCACATCCTATATATATAAGATCAGTTCATTTTCTTCATTTCTTCCTTATTTGGCCACAAACAACTCCATTCTCTCTCAACTAACTTCGTCCAAGAATACTCCACAACCTAAAAAACGTAAGTGTTTCATCCTTAAACTTGTTATACTTGAAAGACCACTTGATCCAAGCCCTGATTCTTCATGTTTACATATGAAATTCATCATCTTGAAGGGTGTACGGCCGTGAACCCTTCATAGGATCATTGGCTGTACACACCCTAAAGGACCTCCAATGTGAGAGTTTTTACCCTATCCTTTGGTTAGACATGTTAAACACTTGTTTCTAGCCTTAAAACATCATCAAACTCATGATCATCAAGAGTGTACGGCCGTAAACTCTTTCTACGGATGTATACCCTTGTTTAGTTCATAACCATGAGCCTGAAACACTTCTAGGTACTTGCTATCCATTAGAACTCTTGAACCCTTGAATCAAGACCCAAATTTCACCATCTTGGAGTGTGTACGGCCGTACACACTTGGTATAGTCGTACACACCTCAAAACCCTCCAAAATGAAAGCCTTGTTCATCCTTTGGTTGTACATTTGTCACACTGGCTTCCCCATGGATCAAACACCCTCTTTTGCATGTTTTCCATGAGTGTACAGCCGTACACTCATTTGGCCGTACACCCCTTGGCCGTACACTCCCTTTGTGTGGCCATAAACCCCTTTTAGTCAATCACATATGATTGTAACACTTAGTTGAAGTGTTTACTAGTCCCTAAGGTGGTTCCCTATCATAATTAGTTGTTATATACACTAATTATACACATATATATGCCAATTAGGATCCAATTGTGCTCGGAACTTCGTTTGACATACCAAATATCCGATATCATATCAAATCTCCAACATAAGGTGAGTTCATACCCCCATATTTTCCAAGGTTTTTAATGTTTTAAGCGGGGGGGGGGGGAATACAAGTAAAACATAAGATTGCTTGTGTTTAAAAACATAATTTACTTATTATGTTTTCTTACTGTTTTAATGTATTTGAACTTGAAACTTGTAAAAGTCATAGAAATCAACTTATAAACTATAATAGGTATGGTTTATGGATCATAAGAACTAATTTACAAAAGCCCAGGTTAAAACATGGAAATGAACTTATAAACATGGTTTATGAAACAAAAGGAAATATTTTCACAAACTTACTTGTTAATTATAAAAAGTTTTTACAATTTATGAAAATAATTAATACAGGATTGTGAACCACTCGATGTACCATTCAGGGTATCCCTTCGAATCTTAATTATAACCAGAGTCTTCATAAGGGAGAGCGCGAGTTGGTGT